ATTTGGCTCAAATGGGTTATGATTGTTATCTCCTCAGAGTTCTTGTGAGCGGTTGGTAGGGTTTACATTTGTTCCGGATCCGTAGTCCCGGCGAGAGCTGGGCAGGAAGTTCGCCGAACCTTTTGGTTCGCCTTAGGGTGAGGTGGGGCTGTCACAGGCCGCAACCAACCCATCAATCTGCCCGCACTCCTCCCTCTCCCAACCATCAGTCTGCTTTGCCAACGTACGGGCAGTGCCATGCTCCACCTCCTTTGTATCCCTCGATGACAACTCGGGTATAGCAGCAAACACGTCAGCAGCTACCGAATTTATAGCAGTCGCAGCAACAACAATCGCTTCATCAGCTACCGAAGTGATAGCAGTATCAGCCTCTACAGTCGATGAAACAGGAACTTTTTGAACCCATTCCATCACTTGGTTATGCGCAGCCCGACCCATAACAGCCTGCGCCTGCGAAGGGCCCTCAAGATCAGAGTGTGCAGTCACCTCAGGTTCAATATTAACGTCAATCTTCCTCTCATTGCCTTGTCCTGAAAGATTTGCCACCAAGGCACCATCAGTACGCTGATGAAACTCCACCTTATTCATCGTTCGTTCACGCTGTAGGAGCCCTAATCCAGGCCCAATCTGACCACTGTTGTCCTTAGGCTAGTAAACCTCTGTTGACTTCCCTTTCTTCCTAACCAAATTTTTGGCAGGTTTGAGTTCAGGATTCTTCCTAAAACATTCCCAGTCTTCATGTCCAAATCGAGTACAAAACCCACAAAACTTCGGCCAGCTCCCATATTCCACATCCTGCCAGAACCCCTCTTGGTCCTCCCCAATCCAAATACGATTTGGAGGCTGTTTCGATACACCCATCTCAATCAGAACCCTCGTAATAGAAGGGCGTCTGAGTGCTAATGTCACCGAGTCAATCTTCAGACATCTTCCCAGCAAACCAGCTAATTTGGCAATATACACCTTATTAAACAATGGCAACGGAAGTGTTGTGTGAGACCCCGAAAATTTCTTATTTCTCAGGCTTTTATTTTGGACTTTTGGGCCTAATTTTAGGGTTTTCTTTTATCCGTGGGTTTTCTGGGGAATTTTATGAGAAAATATGAATTTTACATCATTTTCTGGGTTTAGGTCAATTTCTGTGCTATTAAGGGTGTACAGTGGTTGCGGGACCCACTAAGACGATCGGTACGGTAAAATGTAGTTTTGGAAATTTTATATACGAAAGCTTTGTGACCTAGTGTTATGAGTTAATTAGAGGTTAGTTGGTTTAATTAAGTGTTGTAAGACAAAAGGAGGGGATAAGCTTGAAAGGCCACATGTCACATTTTCATTGGAGGTTGACATTTTGACTTGTCTTACACCTTTACTAAATTAAATTTTGACCAAAATTCTTCCTTATTTCTTACCTCTTGGCCAGCCACTCTAGAGAGAAAAGAGAAAGAAAACTCTTCAACTTTTGCTTCAATTCCTTGCCAAATCTTGAAATACAACCATTCATCCTCCAAATCTCTCCATAAAACCTTCTTGCTAGGAGTGTTTGAAGTGCTTGGTGGTTTTGGTTTGGAAGGAAAAGCTCTCATCTACCTTGTATCAACTATTTGTAAGGTAAGCAAGTAAGGAATTGTTTCCTTGTTGGTTGTAAGATGAAATTGATAGGTGATAGTGGTTGAAGATACCATTTTGTGGCTTATTTCAAGACTTATGGTTGAGTTATGTCAAGTTTTCTATTTATTGAGGAATTTTCTGTTTTATATGATATATCATGGTTGAGTTGGGTGTGATGGCTTTATATGGCTTGATTTAGAGCTTATATGTGTTAATGGTGGTTAATTGTGGAAAATTTCAGCATTTGTGAGAAAATTTCGGTTTTAGGGTTTGATGAAATTGGGGCTTTTCTATGTATGGTTTTCATGCTAGCAATTGATGTGTATATGGTTGTATTGTGATTCAAATGGGGTGAATGGACTAGTTTTGGAACCATAAGTGTAATGGTACAAGTTGGGTGTTGTTCATTAGGTTGGAAATGTGAAGAAATTAAGGGGATATGCCGCCCGATTGGTTGGAGATATGGGTGGTCTTGAATTGAGAAGGATTTGAATAGAAAGGGAAGAATTGGGGAGTTTGTTCACATTCCACACTTTCGTTGTTCCATTTTTCTTATTTTGAGTAACTTGTGTTAGTAAGTTAAACCTATACGTTGACTCGTGTTTGAGTCTCAAATATGTTTTCTTGCTTGTTTTAGGTCGTACCGGTGGACCGGGACCTACTCCTGACTCGAACGTGTGATTTACTTCATTACTTGGTGAGTGTATCATTAAATAGTTGATTGCACTTGCTATGTGACTTGTATGGCTTGAATAGGTCAAGGGTGTACTTTATCGCTCTTGACCACTTACTGGCATTATTGTTACTGTTAGACTGTGAAATTTCATGTATATATGTGGTATGATGTTTGCTAGGGCCATGCCCTATTATTACTGTGAAAACTGAGTTTTTCCCTTAGGCCGTTATTCGAGTCGAGCCGGCTAGGGCTTGGGCGAATCATTAACGTGCCTTTGGGTCACTGATAGTCGAGTGGAGTATTCACTCCTCGACCCTATGGTATACTCGAGTATTACCTTTTGTAACTGTGAGGTGTGCGGGCCCGGTAAGGGGGTGATTGGTGGAAGGAAATGGTGTAAAGAGGTGCCTACGGTTCTTGGTTGTCTCCAATGGTTGACGGAGTGTCAACAGGTATGATCAAGTACGGCAATCGGAAAACGGCCCTTGAGGGCCGATTGTATCCTTTTATATATAGTTGATTGAATGAAGGCGTTCGTGTTTATGTGTTTGATGGCCTGTATCACTTATTTGCAAATTTGGTACCTCACGAGCGTAAGCTCACCCCCGTTATTTTGTTTTCCTTACAGGAGCATCACCGGAACCAAGTTTTGAAATGAGTTGAGCTAGATATGTAGCTAGTTTTGTATAGCTCCTCGAAAACTTGAAACTTTGATGTATGTGAATTCAAGTACTTTTGAAATGTAAAATTGATCCTCTCTCATGTATATATGGCATGTATATACGCCTTTATCAAGTCTTGGACAATCTGCATTATGTATTTGATGTGTTTATGCGAGTATCGGTTGCGAACGAAGGAAGAAAAGATTTTGCCAAAACTACTGTTCAGAATCCGGCCAAGAATCCGGCCAGAAACTGGCCGGATACAAGGCCGGATATGCAGGGGAAAAGAAAAAAAATTTGGATTTTAGCTACTGGCCGCAATCCGGCCGGAGAAATCCGGCCAAGCCGGATTTCCGGCCGGATTGACAGGGGTATTTTGACCCCTTTGGGACCAGCCTCTGCCTCCTATCCGGCCGAGAATCCGGCCAGATTCTGGCCGGATAGTGACGTGGCTGGTTACTGTTCATCCGCGGCAAATTTTTTCAGTTTCATTTTTCTTGACCGATTCAAGTGCTCGAGCGCTATATTTTCTTCCGTGGTAATATTGTGTTAATAAGAGCAACTTAATAAGGTTATACGCTTGTTTTAGTAATTTTCCTTCGCATGATAGATTGGAATGGTTTGTTTCGGGTTCGTAGTCCTGGCGAGAGTTGGGCAGGCAGTCCGTCGACCCCTCTGGTACGCCTTAGGGGAAGATGGGGTCGTCACAAGTGGTATCAGGGCCTAGGTTTAGATTAACCTGGGCATGTTAGAAATTTCTTGATTTGGGACTTGTATTTGATTGTTTTTTTTAAGGGGTGTTTGAGCTGAATTGTGTTTCTATGTAGGATGGACGCGCGTAGTGGGCCTAGTGAGAGACCGACTGTGGTGCAGGGCCGGGGAGTACTTCCTATGATTAAGTACCAGGTCCGGCCGCGAGGGGCGGCGGTACGCTGGAGTCCGGCTAGTCGCCTTCGGCGTTGTGAGTGCCGTCATAGGTTTGCCTACCCCAATATGTTAGTATGGGCTGTGGATAAAGAAAGGAAGGAGTTAGCCAAGGATTGTGCAAGGCTTGAAGCCGAAACAAATCAATTGAGAGAAGCTAACAAGAGGCAAGCTGAGCGGATTAAGGAGTTGGAGTATGACCTGGTTGAAGGTCAAGATAGGGTGGACGACTTGTGTACGCAACTTGGGGAGATGCGTGAACGTATGGTCAAGCGGGCGAGGCAACTAAAGGAAAGAGCCGGATCAATGCTAAACCTATGTGATGACCTATTAGGGGACGAGAGTGACGAGGGCTCTAGTGTAGGAGGCGGGGTTGGAAGTGAACCCGTCCAAGCGAGTAGGACCTCTAGTCCCACGGTAGGCTAGGGTTTGGCTTTTAGGCTATTTTGGAGATTTTTGACTCTTGTATATATAAGGGATACGGAATGGTAGGTCGGGAAGGACCCTTAGCTAGTCGCGTTGTATATTGGACTAGTTTTGTATATATTACTTTTGTATTGCCATTCCGTAAGAGGCTTTCCCTGTTTGAACTTGACTGATTGTTTTGTACAAATGTTTGATCTTGTTGTGAATGCTATGAATATGTGTTATATGCCTAAGTGTTATGAAGTCATTGTTTGGCTGGGTGTTCATGTTTATTGTTATACACAGGGGTGTGTGCACTTTTATCTTAATGCTATATTTATGTGTATATTTTGACCCTAGATTGACCTAGAAAGATGGAGGGGACGCGTAGTGGCCGAGGTAGAGGACGTGGGGGTAGACAGCCCACGACTGAACAGGGTACGGGAACTGAAGTGCCCGAACCAACTCCTGAACCCCAAATCGATCCTAATGTGCAAGTAGCCGCTGCTATCCAGCAGATGACTGCTCTCCTGGCCCAGGTGGTGCAGCAACAGGGCCCTAACCCTAACCACCCTAATCCTCCGGTCGGCAACCCTGGAAACCTTGGAAACCCTGGAAATCATGTCGAAAGCGAAGATCGAGCTCTCGAACGTTTCCAAAAATTTTCTCCACCTAAATTTCTCGGAGGGCCCGATCCGGACGTGGCAGAACAATGGTTGGAGAAGATGATAGATATTTTTGCCGCCCTACGTTACTCGGAGGAAAGGCAAGTGACCTTTGCGGTTTTCCAACTCGAAGGGGCCGCTCGCTCTTGGTGGAACATTATTCGGACAAAATGGGAGCGAGAGCAGACACCAAGGACATGGACGAATTTTGTACGGGAATTCAATGCCAAGTACTTTCCGCCATTGGTTCAGGAGAAAAAGGAGGACGAATTTATTCGTCTACGCCAAGGCACGCAATCGGTGGCCGAATATGAGAGCCAATTCACGCGTTTATCCAAGTTTGCCCCTGAGCTCATTGTGACGGAACAAAGGAGGGCGAGGCGTTTCCTTCAGGGACTTAATGTGGAAATTCAAAAGGATTTGGCCGTAGCCCAAATCACCACTTTCAGTGATGCTGTTGAGAAAGCATTACGATCCGAGAACGCAAGGCTTCAGGTGAGGAATTTCCAGAATAGGAAGCGTGGAGCTGCTGGGAGTAGCTCAACCCAAGAGGATAAGGGCACCCCTCCTAAATTTGGAAGGGGAGCTGGAGGGGGACGGTTTGCGAGTCCGGCTAGAGGGGCTCCCTCTCGAGGAAGCCAACCGGGACGAGGCCAACCGAGGAGCGCCTCACAAGGGAGTTCCGCTACTATTACGCGTGGGTCGTGTAGCTTCTGTGGGAAACCAAACAACACAGAGGATGACTGCTGGAGGAAACAGAACAAGTGCTTACGCTGCGGGAGTGCAGAGCACCGGCTCGCCAGTTGTCCAGTCCAATCCCGAGACGCGAAAGGAACGACGCAGACGTCTAAGGCTACCTCAAGTCAATCACGGGTAGAAGGAGCCAAACCGAAGGTGCCCGCACGTGTATACTCTATCGAACAACGTCCAGTTCCTGACTCGGCTGAGGTAGTGGAAGGTACGATTCCTATCTTCCACCGCTTAGCTAGAATTTTGATAGACCCTGGAGCCACCCATTCTTTTGTTAACCCCGAGTTTATGTGTGGAATTGATATAAACCCTGTCATTCTTCCCTATGAGTTAGAAGTTAGTACTCCTACGGGGGACCAATGTTTAAGTTCTAATAAGATGTATTCAAATTGTGAGATCTGGGTAGGTGAGCGGAAGTTATTGGGGAATTTGATAAGTTTAGCCATAAAGGGATACGATGTGATATTGGGCATGGATTGGTTGGCTCGATACGATGCTCAACTGGATTGTAAGAGGAAAATAGTAGAATTCCGTATTCCTGGGGAGGCAACTTTGAAGTTAGATGTGAGGAGTAGTTTAGCCTCCTCTGCTATGATATCAGGTATTCGAGCTAGGAAATTATTAAGTAGAGGGGCGCAAGGGTTCCTAGCTTTTCTCATAAACACTCCTGCCGACAAACTGAAAATAGAAGATGTTCCAGTAGTGAGTGAATACCCTGATGTCTTTCCTGACGAGCTAGTAAATCTGCCTCCAGAAAGAGAAATTGAGTTTGAAGTTAACCTTCTCCCAGGGGCTTCCCCTATTTCCAAAACTCCTTACCGAATGGCACCTGCGGAGCTCAAAGAGTTGAAATTTCAGTTACAAGACCTTCTAGAGCGGGGTTTCATTCACGAGAGCGGATCACCTTGGGGGGCACCTGTTCTCTTTGTTAAAAAGAAGGACGGGACCTTGAGGCTATGTATCGACTACCGAGGGTTGAACAACGTGACCATTAAGAATAAGTATCCGCTACCCCACATCGATGAGCTATTTGATCAATTACAAGGTGCGGTGGTCTTCTCGAAGTTAGATCTTCGACAGGGGTATTACCAACTGTTGATTAGAAAGGAAGATGTGCCTAAAACCGCCTTCAATTCTCGGTATGGGCACTACGAATTTACCGTGATGCCTTTTGGACTGACTAATGCCCCTGCTGCTTTCATGGACCTCATGCATCGAATTTTCAAACCTTATCTTGACCGATTTGTTGTTGTTTTTATCGATGACATATTGGTTTATTCAAAAACCCGTGAGGAGCATGAACAACATTTGAAAGAGGTCCTACAAACCCTGAGGGAGCACCAGTTGTATGCTAAGCAAATGTGAGTTTTGGCTAGAAAGGGTTTCTTTTCTGGGGCACGTGATTTCAAAGGAAGGAATTGCTGTAGATCCGGCGAAGGTGGAAGCGGTGACTGAGTGGAAGAGACCCGACAACCCTATCGAGATCCGAAGTTTTCTAGGGTTGGCAGGTTATTACCGGCGGTTTATTAAAGATTTTTCGAAACTTGCCAGTCCCTTAACCGATCTAACCAAGAAGGGTGGAAGTTTTCTATGGAGTGATAAGTGTGAAAACAGCTTTCAAGAGCTGAAGCGGAGATTAACCATGGCCCCTATTCTGGCTTTACCTAACGGTCCGGACGGTTTCACTGTTTACACCGATGCCTCCAAAGAAGGGTTAGGATGTGTATTGATGCAACATCAAAACGTGATAGTATGAGGCCCCAGTCCGATCGTCAGTCGATATTAGGGTTAGTTGATATTCGGTATGGAAAAAAATAGGGTTTAATGGCTAGGAAGGAAACCCTAATTCGGTTAAGTTTGGAAATCCTAGTTTACGTATTATTATTATAAGGTTCAAGCTATAATTTATATTCGGTATTCTAGTGTGTGCCTTGACGTAAGTAAATATAGGATTTGTTTTAATTACAAAGGTTTAGTAAGTTTGAATGATTAGCAAACCTCTAGTGTTGCAATATTAGAAAGTTTAAGTGGAGTTTTAGTTATCGCCCGTTTTTTTTCCGCATTTTCTTTATTAAAAAATCTCCAGGATAATTTTCATGAGTAAATATGGGTTTTAGATGATTTTCAAGTATCGGTTAGCTTTTGAGAAAATAAGAACGTATATTGGACGTGGGACCCACTAGTGCGAAAAGTTCGAAAAAATTCGACCAATTAGGTTAAATTCCGGATACTGTGTAAAATTTATCGGGTGTTAAGAGATAAGTAGAGTGTGTGAAATGATTGATGTGAGAGAGAAAAGAAAGGATTGAATTGCATTTAATGAAGTGACAAGTGTCACTATCCCATTGGTTGGACTTTGTCTCCAACTATTCACCTTTTTGACTTTTCTTACCAAGTGAATAAATATCTCAAAAATCACCAAAAATTCATTCTTTTCCTCTCCATTGTGGCCGAATCTCTTGAGCAACAAAAGGAAGAGAACTCTTCAAGATTTTGGGTTCAATCTTGCTTCAATCAACTTACTCAACCATCCAACCTTGATTCCACTCCATAAAACCTCTCTATTTGGTGTTAATAAGTGCTTTGGTGAAGTTTTTTGGAAGAGCTAAGGTGTCCAACATCTTCCCCTCTCTCTTGTTTACTTGGTAAGTGAAGCTTAAACTTCCACCTACACCTATTGATGCTTAAGATATGATTAGTAGTGATTAAAGTGCTGAAATTTCTGGTTTTATCTTGGTTTGAAGTGATTTGGTGAAGTTTTAATTTTATTGATGATTTTTCTGGTTTAATTGGATTATGGTGTTGTGGTTGTTTATGATGATTGATAATGAGGGGTTATGACTCTAGTGGATGGAAATGATTGATATTTGCAACCAATTTTGGATTTGGAATAAATTTTGGAAAGTTAGGGTTCATGAAGCTACATTCTGCCCGAATTTATTGCACCATGTTAGAGGCCGATTTGGCCTTGTCTTAAAACATGAAAGTTGTAGGTATTGATGTTTTTGAGGTGCCTACAAAATTTCAGGTCATTTGGATTAATGTAGAATGAGATATTACGAAATTACTGTAGCTGTTCTGCTTTGGACAGAATGCGAAAACTGTACTGGTAATTGGCCATTTTGACTGGAATTGGTTTGGATTTGGATGTTGGTGTCTTCTGATGAAATGTATCTGGACGTCTTAGCTAACTTATGCCTTTGGAATTTTGGCATTTGGACTTGTATGGACTGAGATATACCGATTACAGTTTTCTGTGTTTTGCAAACCTGTTTTGGTAATTCTGGTTTCGTATTTTGCATATTTGACCTAGTTGTGCTAGGATTTGGACTGAGTGGCCTTCTACATTGTTGTACCCCTGTTTCTTAGCTTCGAAATGGTGGGTCTTACACCCCCATCCGATAACCGTAGTGAATTTGGTGCCATTACCGCATATTGAGGTCAAATACGGTTTGTGATTCTGGTACGTTTTTGGAAAGTTTATGGCTGGAACTTTGGCTTCACATTTGACTGAGTTACAAGCTGTTTGGGCTTCCGACCAAAACACCAAACTTATATCCCTATATCAGAGCTTTCTAACGCCCTTGGAATTTCATGAATCGGATTTATAAAACCTGAGATATAGCCGAGCAAACAAGGCCTGCCCGTGAAAATGACCAGAAATCTGTTTTGGTCCTGATGACCAATTTCCGTTCCGAATTTGGATTGCCGACCTTCATGAAAGTTGTTCCATTTGGAATGAACTATCTAACTGCCAATTTTCAGCTCTTTTGACCATGTGTAGCATAGAAAACAGTTAGCACTCAAAACTGACCATTTGTGCATTGGCCAGATTTCGTAAGTGATTGTGTTTGGTTCATTTGGGACTGAAGCCTCCAGTTTCAGTTCTGGATGTCTTCATAACAGTTGTTGTTCATCCTTTAAGCTTCGATTTGGCATCTCATCCGCCTTAATCCGATATTCGTAGCTCAACTTATGGGTGAACTAGAAATGAGTATCAAATCTGCCGTTTCCGTTTCCGTCTGTCATATTTACGTGCGCGCGTGTTGTTTTGCCGTTTTGCTTGTTTTGGGCATGTTAGTGGCCGTTTGTGATAAAATCTTCTATTTCAGACAGCGGTGAGCTAGGCGGAGCCGGTGGGGCCCACTACTAGCGAACGCGCGAAGCGATTTTGCTTTCGTACTACTTTTGGTATTTTGAGTAAGTATTCAGGCCAGTTTGGTGTGTTTTCTTTGCTATGTGTTTGAGATATGTGAAAAGGGCACTTAGGCGAGGGTGTACTTTATCGCACTCGACCTAAACCCTAATTTGAATGTATAATTGTACTTGGCATATGTATATGAACCTTTTGGAACCAAAACCCTTGAGCTTGTGGCTCGGGGCGACTTTCGAATAAAGTTTGTGAAGTTTGCAAAGTTTGTGATTTTGAATAATTTTGTGAAGTTTGTGAGTTTGGGGCGAACTCTTGACCTGGTTGGACTATTCGAGCCGGTTAGGGCTTGGTCGAAGGCAGTCCAACTTAGTCTGAGGTCACCAAGTTTGTAGGTTCATGTTTTATGAACCAATTTTGTGAATCCGGTTCACCGAGAAAGTGACCAAGTTTGTGACCCGAGCTTGTGACTCAAGCTCAAGTTTGTGATTTCGTTCGCCCGGGCAAGTTTGTGAGGTGACTGGCCAGTGAGGGTGATAAGGTGTCGGTGGGTGTACAAGTGAAGTTCTACGGACTATTATTTGTGGTCGACGGAGTGTCGGCAGGAGATCATGCATGGCACATGAATTGGCTTTGGAGCCACCCGTATCCTTATTATATGATGTTGTTCTTTTCTGCTTTTGCTTTACTCTTATTGTGTAATTGTTGCTACATGAATTTACGCTTTCGCCCCTGTTTACTTACTAAGCATATAGCTTACCCCATTCCTTTTGTTTTCCTTAGCAGGGGCCGACGCGAGGGACTTTTGGCTCGTATACTAGTATAGTAAGATTGGCTTGTAATAGTTAAACAGTTAGGATGTTTGTTTTTGTTTTGGTGGTTTGACTCGATACTTTTGGAGAATGTAATTATAACTCTTTTGGGGTTGTATATAGTACTCTTTTGAATTTTCTGGCTTTGATTGTTTTAAGTTTTGAGTTTTAAGTTTTGAGTCCTGGCGCGAGCTAGGCAGGCGGCCCGCCGATACCCTTGGGTTCGCCCTTGGGAGAAGTGGGGTCGTCACAGATAGCTTATGTTTCTAGAAAATTAAAAATTCATGAGCAAAACTATCCCATTCATGACCTAGAATTGGCCGCAGTTGTCTTCGCTCTGAAAAAGTGGAGACACTATCTGTACGGGGTGACCTTTGAAGTCTATTCTGACCATAAGAGCCTCAAATACCTCTTTTCCCAGAAGGAACTGAACATGAGACAGCGCCGTTGGATGGAATTCTTGGAGGATTACGACTATACCATTAACTACCATCCTGGTAAGGCTAACGTAGTAGCCGATGCCCTAAGTCGAAAGGCTCAGATTTCTGGATTGATGGTGAAAGAGTGGGAATTATTGGGAACCGTTGGAGAGTGGAATCCGAAGTTGGAACAGAATAAGATAACCTTTGGGAATATCCGAGTGACGTCCATATTTTTAGAAAAGATCAAGGAAGCTCAAACTAAAGATCCGACGGTTCAAAAGTGGATAGAAAAGGTGAAGAAATGAGAACTTTCCGATTTTAATTTGAGCCCTGAAGGGATTTTAAGATTTCGAAATCGAATAGTGGTGCCCAACGATGAAAACTTGAGAAGAGAGATTTTGGAGGAAGCTCATCGATCTAAATATACAATCCATCCAGGAGGTAACAAAATGTATCATGATTTGCGACGATTGTACTGGTGGGACAAGATGAAGAGAGAGATAGCTCAGTACGTCCAAACCTGCTTAGTGTGCCAGCAAGTTAAGGCCGAACACCAGAAACCTTCGGGATTACTGCAGCCTCTGGAGATTCCCGAATGGAAGTGGGAACACATCACCATGGACTTCGTTTCTGGACTACCTAGAACTCAAAAAGGATGTGATGCCGTTTGGGTGATCGTTGATCGATTGACCAAGTCGGCTCATTTCCTACCTGTGAATATGAAGTATTCATGGATAAGTTAGCTCGAGTATATTTTGAAGAGATTGTGAGATTACATGGAGTGCCCGTGAGCATCGTTTCCGACCGAGACCCTCGTTTCGTGTCTAGATTTTGGCAGAAGTTTCAGGAGACCCTGGGGACGAAGCTGAACTTGAGTACTACCTATCATGCTCAGACGGATGGACAGTCGGAGCGAACGATTCAGACCCTCGAAGATATGTTACGAACGAGTATTCTAGATTTCGGGGGTAATTGGGGACA